TGCTTCGTCCCCTACACAACAGAGTGAGTCAGCCTCCCACTTCATAAAATCTGATGCCTTCTCAACTGCCACTGCACTTGTTGGCACCTCAACTTGTAACTTCAACCTCTAGTTTAAGCAGACAAAAAGTGCCTGAAATGAATTAATGGTATTTTGGTATTGGTTGTGAAAAAGTTGTCAGAGACAGAATTTAAGACTTTCATAGATTCATCTCCAAAGATGGGAGTACTAGACACTTGTTAAGCAGGAGCAGTTCTCTGAAAGTAAAGAAATATAAATTCCTCTTCCTAAAAGGATGGCTCTTTGTGTATCTACAGCCTAGGACACCTCAGAGCCACTATGTCTGAGGAACTCTGCCCACAGTCAAGAGCGCTTCCATGGGATCTAGCAAGGGGTAATATAGGATAAGTCATGGTTTGACTTAAAAGCTTCAAGGAGCTTATGTCTGTGGTTGTTGGAAGTGTACTTGAAGCTAGGATGAAGGAGACAGTTGTCAGGTTTTGTCCATTGTCAGGGAAAGGAAGGAAGTTGGTGGCCTCCACCTCTTGTGCCTTCATACAGAGGACATGCAGAGGACCAAGTGAGGAGCCAGAGAACAACACAGTTCAGTATTTTTCTGTCTGATGCGCCCAATTCATGTTTATCACCAACAAAATCTGAGAAATAACTTTGCTTTCTGTAGGATAGCAAGTCCTCACATGCTTGAAGAAAATGGGAGCAAAAGTATTTAACTATTTCAATATTCACAGAAGTAAATTACAAGTTGAAATTCTAAAGAAAAAAGCCTCAAGCTTTTATCATCAACATAGATTAGAAGAGATTCAAATCTGGTCAGCTTTTGTTTCCAGCACACAACAAAGCCTTCTGCCAGAAAGAAGGCAAACAAATAAACTTTTGTTCATCAATGTTAAAGAACCTATTTGTAAGTAATGGGGCCTCATGCAACATATTTCATAGCTTAAAAAAGCAAAAAGAAAAGAGAGAAAGAAAAAAGATGCAAAAAACAGTCATACACTTAACTTCAACAACCAGCTGCAGAATATATTAAAAAGAATCACAAACTACATTTGTTGTATGTAGGCAGCTTGCTGCAAAACAGCATCTGACTTTCAAAATGGAAGACACTGGTAGAAACGTGCCAGCATATCTGACACACATTGCTCAGAGCAGCTGGCAGTAACCAGGCAGTCACAAACCCACCAAAAAATGAAGCTTAGAAGTGTTGTCAGAACACGACTTGCTGGTTATTTGGGCTTAACTGCACTCAAAAGCTGCCCTGCATTTTTCATTTTTTTTAAAAGCACAAATCTGTAACAGGCCTAACATAAAAGTTATTGTTATGCTGAATATTTGTTGCTCTAAAGCATTTTTAAGTAGGACATAAAAGGGTCGATCCTTTGGCTTGGTGCTTAATTTCTAAAGACTAAGCAAAACAAATACTGTACTTTCCTTCAGGTAGGTAAGTCAGGCTTTCCTATTAAAAGATGGTGAATGAACCAACCCATCTATCTTACCTGTATTTCCTCCACATAGAATATTTACCACTTCCTAATGGCATTTTCTTCAGTGAAAGATTTAGTTAAGTCCAATTCTTTGAGCTGCTGAGTGCTGCTCAAACACTCAATATCTCTTAAAAAAGAAAAATCAGACCTCAAATCCCTATGTATGCCACACACTTGTGGATAAAGAGGGACAGTATCAAGAGAAGAGTAGGAACTTGCTGTAAGCTGAATATCTGAACCACCTTCCACTGAACTAAACAGGGAGGATCCAATGGCATCAACATCAAATCAGATGCTTAACACAAGCTGACTACTACAGCAGTCAACGTGTGGTAGCCTCTCATACACTGCTGTTTTTCCACCTATTCCTCTCACGATGGCTCACAATTTATGGCGTACTTCAAAATTAGCCCATTTGTATTACTTTTACATTCAGGTCCGGGTTCTATTTCTAGATTTTCCTCTACTCAGCTAACTGTCTTTTCTACCACTATGAACATGAGACATAAATGGAGAAATGCCAGCAGTCAGAGGCTTGTTGGGAAAAACGAAGCTCTGCTTGAAGTTTGCAGCCTCCAGGAGCCCTCAGTCTGAAGGCCTAGGCTGTCTAGACACCGAAAATAATGGTGGGGCGACAAGTAGCCTCATGGTGATGGGCCCACGCGTGATGACAGCAAGTCAATCTTCAGCAAACAGGACAAAACTTTCATGGCGCTGTTAAATGACCCTACTAGCCTGGAAGAGATGGATAGGCACATGCATGACCCAGACCACAGGAGTCTAGAAAAGGGACAAGACAGAGAGGCAAGAGATGTCTGGGTCTGAAGGAGGTGATGGAAAATACCAAAGCCTGCGATCGCATCAAGGTTGTTGAGCTGGTATATTCTGAGGTCTGTTTCAACCAGGAAATCTTAACATGATGCCACGGGGCTGGCAATGGACACATAATGGCCAGTTTTTGAGAACTGTTAAAATACCTTCAGTTCTTTGACAACAAGATAGGAGACTGAAAAAGCAGCTC